TAGTAGCAATTTGTAGATTTGTAGTAGTAGTAGTAGAAATAGAAATACAGTATTTGTAGTAGTACAGTAGTAGTAGTATAGTAGCAGTAGTAGCATAGTATATGTATAGTATAGTAGTAATTTGGAGCAGCATAGTAGTAAAAAGTTTTTTAGCGCAGTAGTAGTAAAAAGTAGTAGTTGTAGCAGCAACCAGCAGCAGTAGTAGTAGTAGTAGTAGCATTAAATAGTACAGTATTGTTAAAAATATTAAATAGTAGTAGCATTTGTAGTAGTAGTAGAAATAGTAAGCATTTGTTTGTATTTGCAGCATTTTAGCAGTTTGGGATAGCAGAAATTTGTAGTAGTAGTAGTAGTAAAGTATTTGCAGCAGCAGCCCGCCCGCATTTGTAGTATTTGAGTAGTATAGTATAGCATAGTAGTAGCATATTGTAATAAATAAATTTGTAGTATAGCAGTAAAAATAGTAGTTTAGAAATAGTAGCACAGAAATACAGTATTTGTAGTATAAGGGGATAGTAAATAATAGTAGTAGAAGTAGTAGTAGCAGTAGGGAATAGGGAGTAGTAGCAGAATTTTTAAATTTGTAAAGTAGCCCGTAATTTTACAGTAGTTTTAATAGTAAATTTAAAAATATAGCAGTATTTTAGTAGTATAGTTTGGAGTTAAATGGTATTTGAAATAGTAGTAGAAGGGGGTTTGTAAGTAAATAGTGTAGTATAGTAACATAAAAAAAAGAAATTTGTAGTATAGAAATATGGAAATAAAGCATTTTGTAGAAATAAATTTGAAGTAGTATTTGTAGTGGTATAGTATAGCAGTAGTAGTAGTATATTTGTCGTAGTACTAGTTTGTAAAATAAAATATAGTAGTAGAATAGCAGAAATATAGTAGTAGTAAATAGTAATAGCAGTGTAGTAGTAAAGAATTTGTACACAGTAGAAGGGAGTAGTAGTATAACCATTTTTAAATACTTTTAGTAGGGAAAAGGAGTAGAAAAAAGTAGTAAGTAGTAGTTGTAGAAAAGCATTTGTATAGTAGTATTGTATAGTAGAAATAGTAAAGTAGTAGTAGTAAAAAAAATTTGTAGTAGTAGTAGCAGTAGTAGTAGTAGTTTTTTTGTAATTTGTAAAGTTTAAAGGGGAAACATTTAGTAGGTTTTGTATTGCAAAACAGCACAAATAGTTTTTAGGGAATAGCAGTAGTTAGAATTTTTGTTGTAGAAAACAGTAGTAAATAGTATATATCAGTAGAAATTGCAAAAGTAGTAGTAGAAGGTAAATACTAGCAGAAAAGTAAGTAGAAATAGAAGGGATTTGCAAAAATAGTATATAGAGTAGCATTTAATAGTAGTAAAAAGTATAAGAGTAAATATTTGTAGTAGTAGTAGCAAATAGCAGCAGCAGCAGTAGTAGTTAATAGTAGAGTATTTGTTGCAGTAGTAGTAGTAGTATTTTAAATATATCCCTAGTAGTAAAATTGTATAGTAGTACACAGAGCACGTTGTATAGTAGAGTATGACAGCCAGTCTTTATGTAGTAGAAAAAAAGCAGTATATAAAAGGATAGTATAGGTGTTTTAGTTTTAGAAGAGAGCATAGAGTAGTATATATAGTACGCAGCAGGCGGGTAGTTAGGTAGAAAAAAAAAAAAAAAAATTTATGTAGTAGTAGTAAAGTAGAGTAGCGTGTTTTTTTTAAGTATTAGTAAAGTAGCGAGTATAGTTTTAGTAGTTTGTAGTAGAGTAAAAGAGTAGTAGCAGTAGTAAAGTAGAGATAGATTGTAGTGAGTGTAAGTATAGATTGTGTAATTAAAGAAGTAGTAGTGCGCCAGAAAGGATATAAGCAAGGAGCGTAAAAAGGAGTAGAGTAGTAGAGAGGTATAGAGTGAGACGTGAGTAGGTAGAGTAGTTTCACAGAGATTGTGTGCATATAAAATAGTAGGGGTTATATAGAAAAGTTTAGCACACACAGCAAAAGGGTATATAGTATATTAGTTAGAGAGGGGTATAGTATAGTAGTATAGAGGAGATTATTAGTAGTAGGGAAAATAGATTTATTAAAATAGCATATATATAGAAAGTAATGAAGTATAGTATATAACAGTAGAATAGTAGAGCAATATATATAGTATGGGGTTTTAATAGTAGAGAATTAATAGTAGTAGAGGGGGGTTATGTATATAGTAGAATATTTGAAGTATAAGAACCACACACATGAGTAAATTAGTATAAAATAGTTTGGTGTATTTTTATAGTACTAATAACATAAAAATATTTTAATAGCACACAGACCCATTAAATTAGTAGTTGAGTGTTTGGTAGTATAGTAGGATATAGATACCCAAAATATATGGTATAACAAAATATATTATAAAACCCTAATTAACAAAGAATATTTATTTAGAAATTTTGTTAGTAATATATTATACAGAGTATATAGATATGTAGACAGTAATAGAGATTATATAACATAGTATATATAGAGTATACAGAAGAAATTAGAGAGTTAGAAGTAAAGGTATAGATATGGTATAGTATATAAAGATATAACTAAGATATACATATATATATAGAGAGTACAGTATAAGTTTGGTATAGAGAATATTGCGACACAGCACATTTATAAAAATATAGTAGTATATAGAGTTTTAAAAAAATTTAAAAAAAAAAAAAAAAAAAAAAAACCCCCCCCCCCCCCCCCCCCCCCCCCCCCACACACACAAAAAAAATT